GTGGCATCGTGACGCTCGCCCTGGCCATGCCACGCCACCGTATGCAACTGTTGCTTGAGGTCTGCACAGCCTTTGTGTATAGTTTGCGTGTAAACTCCTCGTGAACAAAAAAAAAATGAATCAGCTAATGATGACGACACGCTCTATCCACCGCTGGACGATGACCTCTTCGAATTTTTACAGCAGCCTCCGTTGTCTCGCTGGAGACCATCTCGCGTTAGGCGTGCGCTCCTCATGACTGCGCTGTTACATCTCTCTCCAATGTGTTTGGGCCCGTGGTCACTGAAAATGAATTGACCACGTAGCATTTTGGGACATCGGTTAGATTCCATGTAATACTGCAAGTCAAATCGCCCTCCCCACAGAGCCACGTCCGTACACCCGTGTATGTTTCGTGCGGTGTTTATAGTGTCCCGGTGTTTTTTTGCCGTAATGCCTGTGCGCGTACACGTGTTAAAATAGACTCGCACCGAGGGTTTCTATGTAAGCTATTGTCGGATCTTAACTTCCAGTTTGTAACCAGTTTTTCTTTCTCAGTAATACATGGCTGGGTGGGGTTTAAAAGCGTGCCATTATTGCCTCTGATCACACGAGTTTGAAAGAATAACACGTTTTAAATTGCGTCTCTTCCGACCTGCGTGGCTCACACGTTTCATCTTGAGTAAACTTAGACTGTAACCCCATTGTTACTTTCATTTTGCAAGCGACGAACAAGAAACGTGGATTTTCTGAGTGAACAGACGTGGGTGGACGTGCAATGAATGAGCATTATACTGCGTAACATCCAGCATTTAACACAGAACCCGATCCGGTGGACACGTCAGTTCTGTAGCATTCAATCGATAATTATTAATCGATTTACAATTACAACATACACCCAACCTATGCAAAGCAAGTAGGAACTATGCACCTGCAATAGGCAGTATGAAGATCCTCCGTACGTCCTTAACAGGCGGTTGGGAGCAAATTATGTGGGCGAGCACCTTTGAAGGCCGGCACGGGACACGAATGGAGTGCGTGGCCAACCACGACGCCCGACCGCCTTTGTCTCCCCAAGCGGTGATGTTTTACGTACAGCGCTATGCTCAGCACTCATTTAAGTCTGAGTCGACCTGCAACACACTCCGGGCGTGCGCAAGCTGTCTGAGGACAGAGAGAGAGAGATATGGAAAGAGAAACAACCCCCCACACACACAGAACGCAAACGCCCTGTTATTTCGGTTGTATTTAATAAGCGACACGTACGCACACGCCGGCCTGATCAAAGGCTCACAAGCCCGGGAGATCGTATCGCAGGCTCTTGCCCCGTGTTGCAAGCCAGAGAGGACTTTACGGCACTCCGGGAGGGGGGGCTGGGGGGGGGGGCTCCAGTCATCTCGCGATAAAAGTTCGACCTGCGTGTAACTTTTAGATGCTTATTTTTTATTATTATTATTTATTCACATTGTAGGGGATAGTAGTGGGTGGGTGGGTGGTACAGACACTTTATTTACACCCAAGTGGCCCAAAGTATTTGCACATATTTTATACAGCATCGCACAAACAACCCCAGTTCTCCAGCAAGCGACACACACACCCCACTCCCCGCCGTTCCCTTTGATTTAGATTGTCATTTTAATCAGAAAGTGATAAAAGGAAAAGCAGAAGCCACTAACAATGTGTAAATATTGACCCGCGGGGGGGGGGGGGGCGTTTTATAGCCGCTGGGTGAATGTAAAATCCACTGCCAAACCGACAGTACTGTAGTTCATTGTTCAGTCGACAACTTACGTTCGCCAACCACACCATACATATCCCAATGAACATAGAACGTAGTTCCAACCACATGCCAATGTTGCATGTTTACCGGGTATTATTTCCCCCCTCTACGTCGGGAAGACACTTCAAAGCTAATCGGATATCTCCGGGATCAATACAGATTCTGATTCTGAATACCCTATGTGTCAACATTGCACACTATGAACGTCTGTGCTTGGTTCAAACGGGTACATCTTATGTTGCAAGCCAGCCATACTGCAGTAGAGCTTTCGTGCAAGTATATCATGAAATACATTCATACCACGGAGCGCTCGTGAAGTAATGCATACCAAAATGCATCATGCGCCTCCTATCAGTCAAATGTGGGGAAGGAGGCTTCCTGTGCACTTAGGTTAGGTAGTGCATACACACTTAGTGCAAGACTAGTGACAACAAACATAGCGTACCTTGCATACAGTACTTGCCTGTATTTCGTATATTACGTGCACCGGTATTGCCATTCGCATGCATGCGCCAGTATTTTGCAAGCGTTGCAATGGCAATGCTGTTGTATCTTGCCTGCTTTTTTTTTGCGCATATGCGTGTACAATACTTATTGTTCGACCATACTCGTCGTATCCACACGTATCTGCTGCAGATATCACGACATCGGTCTGTCTTGCGAGGGGCAGCGCGTCGAACAACTGCAACTGCAGTGTGCGAAGTGAGGCCCGCACGCAATGAATGCCTCGAATGAATGGGAGCACAATTTGATTAAATATAAAGCGTCATTTGCATATGCCTCCGACTGGCAACAGAACACAGAGGAGGAGGAGGGCTGGAGTGCTCGCATGGGAACCCCAGACTTGCCTTTCAATGGCATTCGCAGCATGTCAGCTCTTGTTCGTGTTACACAAGTCACCAACCTCAGGGGTCCGAGGTTTTTGCCCCAAAATATCTTTGTGTGGATCACACGAGAGTGTGTGTGTGTGGGGGGGGGGGGGGACGCATGTGTTTTACAAGTGGGATTGATTGACTCTTGAGAGTTGAGACTCATCGGCACTGCCCAGCCGATTCGAACAATTGTCATGCCGAATGTACGTTAGAGAGAAGGCACGATGGCCCTGTTTTACAAAACAATGCCGTATTGGGGGATCTTAGTAGCATCGCCGCACTGTGGGGACACTATCTCAGAAGCCGGTTGTGATAGGAGCAGCGTTGACCCACACGCGCCTTTATCAACACTGTGCATTGACCAGCGTGGTGAAGTATGGCCAAATAACCCTCATTACCGACACGGTGGGGTTTTTTTTGTTACAAAAGGTTGTAAACTATTATTTTAATACTATCCATAATGGAGGTTTTTGGGTTAGATCGCGTAAAGATAAAAAAATGTGTCGTTAAACCCGCCACCACCCGACACAGCCAATCATTAAGGTTTCTCACGTGAACATTACATGCCAATTCGTGACTCATTCAGTTAACCGGTGTGTTGGAGAGTAAACCCACATTTTTATTTTTATTTACGTGATCTAACCCAAAAATCTCTAATATAGATAATATTGGTCGCGAAAGGCTACGTGTTATTTTAATTCTGCACTGCGATTTATCAAGAAAACATTCGACATACATACCCACATTGTTTTGTTCTGCCAGTTAATTATTTTTTTTTGCTATTTTTGTTATTTCCCTCCATGTCAATTATCCGCGCACAGAAAAGCATGTCCATACACATGGAGGCCATATCAGAGTTAGGTCATATACGCGTGCACACACGTTTACACGTGTCGAAAAATGAACTTACATTCGGCCTTGAACACATACTGAAACGTGACAACCTGCACGACACGAATACACAACAGCAGCCTGGCTTGTCCAATTATTGTACAATGCGCAACATCACACACAGTCACCCACACGTGCTCACACAATCGTGGACACAACACATGCACATCGCGTACAATGTGTGTGTCAGGCTACGCGCCATGTACACAAAGAGCATGGAACGCACACAATTAATTTAAACTACTTCGCACCTTTGGGGAAGACACAATTCGCCAATCCACACACGTTTTCACGTTAACAAGAACGGCCGTTTCTGACCTCACCACGGCGCTTGTGCCAGGTTAGGTGCACCTTTTCAACTTACACACGCTAGCAAAACATATTGTGCGTAAAATAATATACATTTGTCTTGCTGCGTGTATATATACGGATATATCTCGCTGCATACAAACAAAATGTTGTACAAAATATATCTTGGTGTTGTTTAGAAACATGCGTTTAGAGTATTTGCCTGCTAAATAGTTCCACATGAAAAGCCACTTTAGCTTTCATTTGTGGCCAGGTCGCTTCTGAAAAATGAGCTACATAGCTCAGCGTGCCTTACCTGGTAAAATAAAAAAGTAGTGTTAGTATCAAACAAACACACCACCTTACACAAGCCACTGGATGGAGGTGGAGGGGGGGGGGTGCAAATATCATCCATTTGATCTCAAAACTTCACACATGCACGTGTTATCCGCCAGAGGGCGAACATTTAAAAAAACACACACACACAGGCCCCACACACACACACAAAGGACACACAGACAGACACACAACAATAAGACGGCAGGCAATTGGCTACGCATAGCACAACCTCGACACGGGTTGGGAGATAAGAGCAGTGGGGGTGGGGGGTGTGGTGTTTGGTGGGAAGGCGGAGCAGAAAGTGTCGAGATGCGAGCAGAGGACGGGGACACACAGAGACACACACACACGGACAGAACCACAGGGGGTGGTGTTGGTGGTGGTGGTTGCTTGGTTAGGGGAGGAGGACACGGGGGAGCAGGGGGGGGTGGGTGGTGGAGGACTCAGTAATCTTTGCGTCCATTGGCGCGGCTCGCTCAATGCGGCTTTGCTTCTCCAACTTTGCTGCTGCTGCTGCGAGTGGGAGCGGCGAGGTCTGAAGGCTTCTTCAAGCGCCGCCGCCGCCGATGCCGATGCCGCTGCCGCTTTCTGATCTCCGTGCGCCCCTTCTCGCCAGCACGCCGCCGCTGCCGCTGCTGCTCGCTGTCCGCCCAGTGGGGGCCGATCTCGTGTCCGCCGTGCACACAAAGGAGGAGGAGGAGAGGGAAGAGGAGGAGAGGGAGGAGGAGGAGAGGGAAGAGGAGGAGAGGGAGGAGGAGAGGGAGGAGGAGGAGAGGGAAGAGGAGGAGAGGGAGGAGGAGGAGAGGGAGGAGGAGGAGGAGAGGGAGGAGGAGGAGAAGGAGGAGAGGGAGGAGGAGGAGAAGGAGAGGGAGGAGAAGGAGGAGAGGGTTCGACTCGAGGCAGTGGCGGGGGTGGCTCTTTGAGAGAAGGGAGAGAGTTCACAGTGCCGGTGACGTTATTTTTAAACGCAACAAACACGCGCGGCTTGCGCTTTGTAGTTTTCAGTGGTGGGGGGCTGCGTGAGTGGCGTTGACTGATTTTATGCGAGGAATTTTTTTTGGGGGGGGCCGGGGGCGGGGGGGTTGGTCACAAATTTGGGAGCTGCCTTGTCAGGTGAACGCGCGTCTCGAGTGTGCCAACAACCACGAGGTGCTGGGTTGTTAAGTCGTGCGACACAACTAGTGAGGTTTGTGGAAGGGACTTTAACGTTAAGAAAAATATAAAATTCGGTTTAAATATAAATAGCGTTTGTTTATTTTGACATTTTTCTTCTCTAGAACACCTCCCCTTAGCCCCCCCCAGCCCCCCCTAGCCCCCCCCCCCCAGCCCCCCCTCTAACACCCCCCCTCTAACACCCCCCCTAGCCCCCCCCCTAACACCCCCCCCCTAACACCCATCCCCCCCTAGCCCCCCACTAACACCCCCCTAGCCCCCCACTAACACCCCCCTAGCCCCCCACTAACACCCCCCTCCCCCCTAGCCCCCCACTAACACCCCCCTAGCCCCCCCTCCCCTACCCATAGCCCCTCCCCTCAAGCCCGCGCGCGCCACCCCCTCCCTCCCCATCGGCTTTTGTGCGCGCGCGCGCGCATTGGAGCGCCGCCGTTTGCCTTTGATGTTTGGGGGCTGTGCACCACCCACCCCCACCACCCACCCCCACCACCCACCCCACCCCCCACCCACCCACTACCCCACCCCCCACCAGCACGGTCCACACCGACCGAGTGGCGACTGCTGCACGGATCGAGCCGCACAACACGCGGGCGAAGAGGTCGCTCGCGCTAGACGGGAACAAAGATTTGACTCTTAGCGTTACAGGCGGCGGCGGCCTCTCGTAGCGAGTCGAGTGTCCGTCTGCTGTAGATAGACAGAGAGTGCCGGTGCTGCTGGTGGTGCTGGTGTGGAACGACGGCTTGCAACAACAACGACAACAACAACAACGACGACGACAACAACGACGACGACGACAAACAAAAACAGTCACCGTTGTTGGTCGCTACCGTCTACGTCCAACCTCGACCGTCTTCGCCGTGCCGGAGGAGCGCGCGAGAGGGGGAAGCCGTGGCGGAGACATGCGGCACAAAAGGAGTTGTTGCTGCTGCTGCTGTTGTGGTGAAGAACGTGAGTTCTGAGCACTTGGGTACACGTGTGTCGCCGTGCGTACACGTGCGTCGCGGTGCGTACACGTGCGTCGTGGGGCGTACACGTGTGTCGTGGTGGGTACACGTGCGCCGTCGTGGGTACACGTGCGTCGCGGTGGGTACACGTGCGCCGTCGTGGGTACACGTGCGTCGCGGTGGGTACACGTGCGCCGTCGTGGGTACACGTGCGTCGCGGTGGGTAGACGTGGTACGTACACGTGCGTCGTGGTGCGTACACGTGCGTCGTGGTGCGTACACGTGCGTCGTGGTGCGTACACGTGCGTCGCCGTGCGTACACGTGCGTCGCCGTGCGTACACGTGCGTCGCCGTGCGTACACGTGCGTCGCGGTGGGTACACGTGCGTCGCCGTGGGTACACGTCCATCCCTCCATGTCTTTTGACATGTTGCGGCGTGTGTGTGTGTATGTATACACAGGGGCACACACACACAAACAAACGTGAATCGTACGTTCGTGTTGATTAGCGGAGGCATTGTTGGAGCCGTTCGGGGTTACTACTTCTGTGCTATCACGATTCTGTCATTCTATCATCATCAGCAGCAGCATTGCCCAGAACGTAATGGTACACGTGGAGTTGCACATTGCTTGCGGGTGCACACACGTGCACACGTGTGTGCTGTGCATTTCATTATTACATTGTATATAACATGCTGCCCTTAAGGGTATCCATGTGTTCAGTTGTAGTGGGTACAATACCCGGGGCATGGGTATGCATGTGCCGTTTGAGCACCCGATGTGCACCGTGTGTTTTATGTAGGTTATTAGATGCTGTGTGTGCATATTTATATTCCTACTAGTGCCGTGTCTTCATGCGTTCATATATCTCACCAGTATTAGTAAGGATACTGACACTGTGCATCGAGGCCACATGGTTGTACAGTGCTTGCTGTGCCGTGTGTGTATATACCGTGTTGAGTATACTATTACTACTACTACTAAAGTATATAATACAACACCTTGGTTGCACGTGTTATATTAAAGTAATGTTCTACAACAAGTTACTATAACTGCTTCATAATCCATTGAGGCCCAATGCTTAATAACAGTACATACAAAGGTTGTTCTGTACAGTGCGCGACTGTGTCCTTGTGTGTGTGTGTGCGCGCACGTGTGGTGCACTGTTTTACCACTATTTACTTTTAGAAGTACGTGATACTTTGTGTACATTCGTCTTCATCTTGTGTTGTATAAGCCTTTAGTATCATCTTTACGTGTGTGTGTGTGGTGTCTTTGTGCTATGTAGTCTGTCCCAATCGTGTCTTAAGAGTGTCTACAGACGTACCCTGAGTGTGTACACGCCTATGTCTTTTGCAAATACCTCTGTGCTATTTGAAGTGCAGCGTGTCCAGAAGTATGCACATGTTGTATTTGTGCGTGGGTTATGTTTGACCATACTTCACCACGCTGGTCCTCGCCTGCTTGGTTGCGGGGGGGGGGAGTGGTTGGCAAAGGACTGTAAACGACTACAGTATTATATTCTGGTACTAGTGTTCATTTTGTAAGCGATACACACGCGTATACCACGCAGTGCTGGATACTGTATCCTAGAGTACATGATACTAGTCGTCGTCGTTGACAAGTACCTGTACATACCGTGCCGTAGTAACGGTGTCCACGTGTATGTACTGTGCATTGACATCACAGTGTAGCAGGGTACAACCCATGTAGCATTGCACGTGCATCTCTATAACCAAATGGTGTACACGTGCATGCCATGGTGTGCATGTATTTACCCCTGCGTGGTGTACTACAGCACCAGAGGCTCTGCACGAAGATCTACTAAACACACGTGCGAGCCTCGGTATTCTTCCGTGCGCTTCGAGTTTAGTGTGCAACTCGATCCAAACCCGCGTCGTGGGTTTACAGTGATGATGCTTGCATCGTCATCATCGTCGTCGTCGTCCCATGTTTTGTGCCAAAGAGGGAGCCTCCTCCTCCTCCTTCCCATCTCTTCATCTCCTCTTCCTCGTCGTCGTAACCACCGCGGCTATGGCCCGAGTGTGTTGCGCGCTCTCTTAAGTGTTGCACATTCACAGCTCGCACCAGGCGACCGGGTATAGTAAGCCACGGGTGTTGTGCGTTAGTAGTCACCGTGCTGCTGTTGCTGCTGCTGGCTGATGGATGATGATGATGTTGGTGGTGTTGGGTGCCCCATGTGATCGACTTTATCCCATCATCCACACACACACACGCGCGCGCGCACCCTCATTGATTACGCTCGACCAAAGCGCACGCACGTGGCGAGCTTTGAAAGTGGCAGATCATCAATGCGGGCATGGTTTCCGTTTTTTTTGCGTCGTGCCTTCTTCTTACACACGGTATTCATTGTACGGCTACGTGCGGTGTTGATTATGCTTCATCTGAAAGGCACAGTCGTGCGAGTTATTGCTTACGGGTCAATACTGGATCGATGCCTTGTGGTATTTTTAAAGCAATGGGCCCATCGCGTGCGTCGGCGTTTTTCAAAAGCATATCCTAACGTTAGTAACTGCGGCAACGAACGAATGCGTTTGCTAAATGGCCTCTACTGTGGATGTTTCAAGTAGCAGCGTGTCAATGTTTTAAATTAACTGCAGTGCGTGTTGCTTGCCAAAGACTTGTCGTGCAACTGTACACGTGGTACAGTGGCGTTGAGCACGCACACAGATCACACACACACACGTGTCTGTTGCATGTCGTCGTTTCACAGATCACACACACACACGTGTGTGTGTGTGTGATCTGTGAAACGACGACGCACATCATTCCCTGATACGCAAGTGACAGTGTGCACGCAAATACTGTATACGCGAGTGCGTAATTGTCCATGCAATACACATTCATTCAAACGCGCGCAGGTCATGAAACGTACATCCACATGTACACATTATAATCATCACGCAAGCGTAAATACACATTACGAACGCATTTTTACACGGCGCATCCAAATAGGATGTTAAGACCGCACACATACACGAACACATAACCTACAAATACATTCACATTGTTTACACCCCAACCACACACCTCGTTCACACACACACACACACGATGTGTGTGTACACACACACGATGTGTGTGTATACCAGATTACTGTATGGTGAATACAGTGTGCATGCAGGCTGCACACACACACAGTTGCTGTACACACAGATGACAACCCAGGCACATCTACACACACACGATGTGTTCACACACGATGTATTCAGACACACACACGATGTGTACACACACACACACGATGTGTACACACACACACACGTGTATACCAGATTACTGTATGCTGAATGCAGTGTGCATGGAGGCTGCACACACACACACAGTTGCTGTACACACAGATGACAACCCAGGCACATCTACACACACACACGATGTGTTCACACACGATTGTTCACACACACACACGATGTGTTCACACACACACACGTGTATACCAGATTACTGTATGCTGAATGCAGTGTGCATGCAGGCTGCACACACACACACAAGGCAGTGCTGTGTTAGCACTGTCGTGATTGAAGCCTGGCGGAGCCCGGGCCTAGTGAGGCTGCCTGTGATGATGATGATGATGGTGTTCATGTGTGTGGCCTAGGCAAATGTACACGTGTAGACACAGGGAGAGATGTCGTGGAGACACTGGGGGTGGTGGGGGGGGAGCAAGAGTATCCACGTGTCTGCTACTCGTGTCTGTATAGGCGTGGGGAGCGGCAGTGTAGTGGTTAGCATGCTTTGCTACGAGCCTGCTAGAACCCGAAGTTCTATTCCAGCTCACAGCTACCAGCACCAGTGACGATTATCTGAACGTGGTCTGGGCCTCCCCTAGGTCGACTCGGCCTCAAATGAGTACCTGGTTGCGGTGTGTAAACATCGCCACCGGGGGAGACAAAGGCGGCCGGGCGTGGTGCTGGCCACCCACCCCGCTAGTGTGCCACGGTGCCGGTCTTCGTAGCTGCTCGCTAACAGCACTTGCCCCTACAGTCTCTGTTAAGGCTATACGGGGGATCTTTGTCGCTGTATGTACAGTGCTGTGAGTGTGGCTATGTGTGTATCAGTGTTTGTTTCTAGCTACATTATGCATGCACGGGTGTGTGTGTGTGTGTACGTGCAGTCCATATATAGTATGTGTGTAGGATGTCACAGTATATGTGCGTTGTGTGTATTATGCGCTGCATGTGTGTGTTTGTGTGTGTGTGTGCAGTAGGTCTCCTGTGTTATTACTGTGTAGACTTGTGGGCCTGGTTGTGTGCGGGCATTGTGTTCAGTGAGTCTGAGTCTACACACACACATACACATCGCGCATACACGTGTATATGTTCGTATTGTGTTATGTAATACACTGTGATATTATATTTGGGTGCTTTGTTTAAACTACAAACGCCTTTCCATGCCTCCCAACGTTGTGTTATGTACGGCCGGTCCGTGAATAGAGGCTCACATATTACTCCCCAAGCAGTCTTTATAAAGAATGTGCTAAATACGTGCTATGTACGTGTGTGTGTGTGTATTAATGCATAGAGAATAGGGGAATACATTGTGTTTGTGCGGTGCGTCCTGTGAACTCAAGTGCCTTTGTAGCTATGTGCTATGTATGTGTATGGTACTGTCTTTATCATGTGCATTTGACTGCGTTTTTGGGGGATAAAATTGCACCACACTCTGTGATTCTACGCTGCTGTAAAGTGTGCATGGTTTGTATGACACTTGAGAAGTTGCTGAGAGTTTATCTACACCCTTGGAGTGTTTCTGCTAGAGCCGTGTGCATGCCCGAGACCCCCACTGTCAGTACTACTCAATGCGCATATTCCTAGAACTCAAGTTTGTTATTACGTTATTCCTTTATAACAACATTGTTATGTGCTTCAAGTGTGTTATTGTTGGTCCCCTGTATGGGCTGCACCGTGGATTGTCTCAAAACTTGAAGGGTTGCCCCCTAAAAAGTAACCCGTTTCCTTGAACTGAAAAGAGGCAAATGCATTGCCTTTTGTGTGCTATGAAAACTAACGCGTGCTTAAACGCACAGCACAAATTACTTATTCTCTTCAGATGGTTTCCTTGTGTCTACTTTTCAAAGTAGGAGTGTGTGTGTGTGTGTTACACGATTGACCCGCCGTGAAGATGAGCTTCAAGCCACGTGCATTATTTGGATGTCTCAGCTGCAGGCTATCGGCGTATGTTCCATCTTGTGAAAAGCCATCGGTGGTTGCCCTATGGAAAGGCGAACTAACCCCTGCATAAAGTATCACAGAATTTCCACCACTGGCGTGGGACTGGCACACTAGTGTGGTGGATGAGAGCCACTCCGTTGCTTCTTGGAGCTGAGAAAATGCTATGATTTTCTAGATTATACAACGAGGCATTTTTGCACACGGGGCATCACATGATGGCCTAATGAAACGTTTTGGGAACAAGGTCACTCGGTTCTTGCGTGTACTGGAATCTGTGTCAAATTTGCTTCAACATAAGTGCCGTTTAAGTCGCGTGATTGGTACACCTCGTTTGGCACGGTCAGAAGTGTGCCCATGTACACAACAGGACCTTGGGATGGTCCTCATCTGTAATAGGCAGTGCTCGGCCAATGGTGAGACGCCCCCTCATTCCTCCGACAGGAACCACAATGCACAGCTTGGAGCTCAAAATAATCCCCACACTAAATTGGTATGAAATTTTTGTTCCAAAGAAAGGCCCATTTCTATGACCATCAATAGCCAGTTGTTGAGTTAGGTGCTTTGTGTACATTTTTCGAAGTTGCCTTAGTGCTGCTCTTGGCTGTTTTGGTGCTGCTCTTGTCTGTTTTGGTGCAATATCTGAGAGGCGCTTGTGTCTGCTTTTTTGTTCACAGGCAGAGCGTCCACAACGCTCGTCGTGTAGCCTGAATCTCCCCATCCCCTGCCCGCCTCACCGCTTTTTAGCCACCTAAATCAAAGACAGAGCCCAGGGCGCGCGCCCGCGCGATCCCAGCCATGGATATAAAAGCGAAGAACCTGGATGTTACGACGTACCTCCTGGACGCCGAGGGCAACTTCATGGAGGACACGCCGAGGCCTCCGGTGCCGGGCGAGGAGGACCAGGTGGTCGTGAGCAAGGCCGCGGCCCGCGCTGGCCAGAACCAGAGCCCTTACGTGGCCAAGGGCGATGCCTTGAAGGGCGAGGCGACCACCGCTACGCCACGCAGGGCCGACTATGACCTGGGTTACGAGCCCGAGGGCAGCGCGTCGCCCACGCCGCCGTACGTGCGTTGGGGCGAGTCGCTGCACTCGCTGTTGGACGACCGCGACGGCACGCACCTCTTCCGCACCTTCCTGGAGCAGGAGGAGCTGCCCGACATGCTGGACTTCTGGTTTGCGTGCAACGGCTTCCGCAACCTGCTCGCCAACAAGATGGGCAAGGCGGCGCGCCTCATCTACAAGCGCTACGTGAGCGACACGGCCGGCGTGGTGGCGGCGCACCTGAAGGCCGCCACGCGGGCGTACGTGCGCGACTGCGTGCTGGCGCGCGGCGTGGCCGACCCCACCGTCTTTGACCAGGCCCAGCTCGAAATCCAGCAGCAGATGGAGGAGAACAGCTACCCGGCATTCCTCAAGTCCGAACTCTACCTGGAGTATGCCCGTGCTGCCGGCTGCTGTGGCGAGGCCAGCCCCGGGCAGCTGCAGCAGCAGCAGCAGCAGCAGTTGCAGCAGCAGAAGGGCGGCGAGCAGGGTTCCGGCTCGGGCTCCGGGTCGTGCAGCGCGGGCATGCCCGTCGGATACCTTCCCACCCTCAACGAGGATGAAGAGTGGCGGGGCGCCGAGGCCGGGCTACTCCTGATGGGCGAGCCCTTCGACGCGTTGGCGCTCGCCAGCGAGCTGGGCAACAAGCTACTGCTGGCCACCTGGGAGCCCGAGAATGATGCCAAAGAGTACTTGTGAGTGTTCTCCCGCACTTGGGCCACTTGTAGCCAAAGTGAATCACGACGTTGTTGCTGTGTGTTGTCGTGCACGAGTGGCATGTATGTATGTATGTGGTTATATGGATTTCTTTTCTATATATATAACACATCTCATCCATATCCTGCCGTGGTGTAATGGTTAGCATATTGGATTTGTAATTCAGAGGTCGCCCTTTCGATCTCCTGGCATGTTAGTTGGAACAATGGGCAAGTTTCTTCAATCTTTGTCCACCCAGCAGTATAATGAGGAATTTCCACCATTAATTCGGGTCCTAAGTAGAAATTAGTCTCATCCCGTGCTAGCTTCAGCATCTTATGGTGTTAGTATTCTCCTTGTGTGTCGGCCAGGGCCTGGTCAGGGCTGCTCGCTCAAAGTGTTGACCTTGGTGTCTTAGTAATTTTTTCTTCTCATTTATAGCATGGCCAAAATAACACTGATGCTGCAGCCAACTTTCATTAAAGTATTAACATTTTTTCCTGTAATCGCCAGGTAGTGCCAGCCAAGTTTTTGCCTCTCTTTACCCCCCCCCCCACTCCTCTCAACCTTTCTCCTCTAAGCGTGCCTAAAACTTGCACTAACATGCCGCAGTAGCAGAGCTCCCTCGGCTTCGGCGCAAGCATTGCGATGCGGGAACGTATTTCAAAGTGTAAAAAAAAAACCCCACAGTTTTCCTGCCTCGCAAAAAAAGCGCTCGAAAGGATAGTGCACAACTTGGCTGTTGAACAAAGATTCCCACAAAACCAGAATACAAAGAGAGCCAAGAGAGAAATCGTAATGTTTCAGTCTGCATAGTTCTCCTTCGCTCCCTAAGATTGTTTGCAACAGGCCAGCACCATTTGAGAGTAGCACTTATTGCTTGTTTATGCCTGCCTTTTGGGGAATATCAGCTTTCGTCCCCACGTGGGAGCCTGTAATTCTGCGAGCGCTGTAACTCGCTGCTGGTTGATGCCGCACCATACTTTGTTGGAGCAGTGTGAACCAGGAAAGCCAGGGGGGAGTTTGAGACCAAGGTTAGGGAAGTGTAGTGGCATAAAAATAGCTCCTTTTTAAGTTCCAACGTTGTATTCTTGAATTACGCTCCTTTCAACCTGGAATTTGGAGACGTTAAAACAGCGGGGGCTCCTGGAGTTAATTTTTCCTTTTCAAAAGTGAAAAAAAATAGCATGTGATATGTGGCAGTGCACAGCTCTGCAGCAGTTTTCAGATGTGAGATTAAAATCTCGTGCTTTATATTATAGGGGGGTCCAAATATCATCACGGTCCGCTGGTCATAATAGCGGCGCTAGAGTAATTTTTTTGTTTTTGATTAGGATCTGGAGAACTTTGCAATGACGCAATGGAAATGCTCGCCTCTTAACTAATACCGTACAAATTTTAGCGCTACATCTGCTTCTCGTAAGGGAATTGAATTTGCCACCCCTCAAGGGCCCGTTTTTGTCCCCGAAGCCTCAAAACGGGTGGTGTGTGCCTTGGTTTCTTAAACTCCGTGCATCCACAGAGCATCCCAAAGCATGGCAGTCCCTGACACGCAAGAGATGTCATCTTATCACTCTTATCTTTTCTGGCAGCAAGCCTTTCCCCCCCTCCCCCCCTCTCTGTTTTTGATTTATGATGGTGCCTTTAATTTTGTGAATATTCTAGTCTACCAGCATGGCTCTCGTGAAAGGGAATGCGAGAGTAATTCATTTTTAAAGCCCTACTTTTACCACGCTCGGGTTGTGTTGCTTTGCATTCACTGCGGCTGCTGTGGGCTGGCTGCGCAATGAAAGGCGGTAAACAAAACTAAAAGGATAAAAAGCACGCACCCATGCGGTCACTTTTTTTTTTCTGGGGAGGTTCAGGGTCCTTGGGGTGGGGTGGCGGCCGTCATATAAATCGGCGTCGGGAGTCGAAGGAGGTTGGCAAATCACTACCTCATGCAAGATTCAGGCGTGACTACCTTTTGAAAGTAATCATGGTGATAGCCTTTAACCCAGGGAGCCTCGCTTGAGTCTTGAGACCTTTTTTTTCCGTCGGGAGTCTTGCATTGGGATGTTTGACCCAATTCCTTTCCGTGCGTTTTTTAGTGTAGCCTATGGGATAAAAGCAGAGTAACCAGAGAAAACATGTGTATGTGAGGTGATAACACTCAAATGTCCGTGTAGAAATGTCAAAAACTCATTTGCTCTAATGCCAAATCCAAGCTGCCTCTCAGTTTCGCAGCACGCCACCTCTGCATGATCCGTCAATTCTGCCGCCAAAGCGCTGGGTTGCAGGAGCTCTCCCACGATAAACGCTGTCCACGGTTCACCTTTTTCTCTCTGTGACACTTGATGAGGTGGCTGTTATGGAAAGTGGGCAGCTGAGCTGAGAGGGCCAAACCAAAGGCCATAACGTGGCCCTGGGATGTGGGCAAAAGGAAGGGGGGGGGGGAGGGGCTCCCCTTGAGCCAGTAGGGAGGGAGGGAGGGAGAGAGAGGAGCGTGCAAAAGGAGCAGAAATGCCATCACGACATGAAAACCAATAAAAGTGACACTGCAGCGGCGGCGGCAAGGTGGGTCCCCTTTCCAGCGACGTTCGCTCAGGCTAGGTAGGGGGGGGGGGGGTCCCCTTTGTAGATGGGCTTTCCGGAGGAAAAAAAACACAACAACAATGCCTCTGCCTCTCAATGTGGGGCCTCAGCAGCTTTGCCTGCACATGCTGCTGCTGCTGCTGCTGGATCAAGCATAACAAAAAATCAACAAGGATCAAACTGGAAATTAGTTTTTCGTGTATGTGTGCTGGTCACTCTGAACTCGTGGTGCTGTGTGTTTTTTTTATTTTTTTCCCGTTCCCTTCCTTTTATTTTTTTCCCGTTCCCTTCCTTTTATTTTTTTCATGGGGAGGAGGTAACCGCATTGATCTTTGGCTCCACACGTTGGCAGAAGGGCCCGAACACGATTTGTGCTGGCGTAGGGTGGCTGACACTTCAAAAAAGGGAACGGGGAGAGACCATTCTCGCTTGATAGTGCGAGTAAATGCTAAGGTGTGCCGAGTTGGATGAGGAGCGGGTTGAGAGGCAGACAGATGCGCAGATGTGTAAGGTACCTGCGAGAGATGCTTTTATTTTGAATCCAATTAACTCCAGCAGAGTCTCTGTTTGCTCGCATTTACATTTTGAGATTGTATTTGTAAAATAGAATGTCCTGCTGACTCCAAGGCTTTTATCTCTTTGCAAGATCGTCCATTTATTTATTTACGAGTCCATAAGAAAGAAAGTGATGTAACGCCGTTAAAGATAAATATTGCATGTGCCACCACAGCCTGCGCTTGAGAATGCAGGCTTTGTACCAGTAGTCGGGGCAGTGAAGGAGACCAGTAATTCATCTTGATTTGAAGCAATGTGTGGGATATTATTGATAAAACATTGAGGATTTCAGTCTTGAATACGGAGTTCAAGTCACAGCCGGGGTTTTAATTAGTACCATCATCAACCCTTTTTTGTGGGTTTGTAAAATTAATACCACTTCACGAGACCACACCATTTGGTGATCAACAGTTGGGACACTTTGGCTTTGAAAAATGTATTTTACCTTTTAATTTATTTTAATTTAAATGTTAATCTATTACTGATACTGAGATCTGTTTGTGTGGCTCTGCCCATTTATGCCTGTATCTTACATCTGGACTGCATTGTTTACAATAGGGTCCGGGTTTTCTCAATGACTTCAAAGGAAACTGTTTATTTAAACAAAAAAAAAACGGGAGGCTTGGCCAAAATGAAAAACACATTTTTATTTCTATTCTAAACTATGCACAACGATTTCATCATGTGCTGTGGAAATGTACCACAGTGAAGAAGCAAAAAAAAAAGTCTTCCAAGGGGGCTGATGATTTGAGCAGTAAATGATATTTTCTATTGACGCTGGTAAAATGTTGTTTTGGGGAGATGCGTGCCAAGATAGCGCAGTCAGTTCCGCCAAAGCACAATGTAAATCTTTGGAGAAAACTTACACGTGGTGCATGGCAGACTTTGTACGTGACGATCCTAAAGGAACACCGCAGAGCAAGGCAAAACAAAGAGGGCCTTTGTTGTGTGCCCGCACAAACCTGGCCTGCAAGTGGACTGATAACCATCAGATTTATGGCGGTGGCTTCTCTCATCCCCACTCCGCTAAAAGTTACAGCGTAAGCTGATTGCTGGCTTTAAAAAAAAAAAACTGATCAAAGCCCTGCGGACTCTCTCCCAAGCTTAGTGCGGTTTATGACTTTTAAGAGGGCACCGTTTTAGTTAATTGCCATGTCTTCAAATACCTTACTGTTTCCACCCCTCCCCCCTTTTATATTTAAATATATTCCCCCCCCCCCACCACCCCCCTCACCTTCCAATCCCGTAATGTGGTTACAAATTGACTTTGCAAACAGCAGGGAGCCCTCCTTTAGCCCCCTTCACCCGTGCCCCCCCCCCTCCCCCCCCCGTGCCAAAAACGGTTGGTTCTAATTTATTGCGCAGATCAAGCGTAGAGAGGGCCGACACTACAAAAGGCCCCAGATGGCAAGTGAGGAAGGCTGGTCCTGCCCCCGGCTCGCGCGCGCGTTGTGCACCGTGGCACATGTGGGCTCACGTCCCGTGTGCGGCGTGGACAGCCCCAAATCCAGCTCCCCCAAATCCAGCTCCGGTCTTAAAAGGGGGGGGGGGTGGGTGGGAGGCTTTTAAGTAGCCATGGAGAGAGAGAGAGAGCTGGGGAGGAGGGGGTGATGGGGAGGGCTAGAGAGAGAGAGAAGAGACTGCCTTTTGACAACACAGCACACACGATCAGATTTCAAAAGTACAACCTCTTTGGCCTTGCCGTCAATAAAACAGGGGTGGGTTATTTTTTTTGATGAAGATTTCTATTTTGAAATTAAAGATGAACACAAAGACAGTTGCAATGACCCCAGCGAAATTAAAGAGCGTGTAGGTTATTTGTGTGTGTGTGTGTGCGCGCACAAATTTGTAAGTGTGTTTGCAATGTCTATTGGCTTAACTCATCGCAGGATATTTATGTTTTGAAACGTGTGAAAGAAGATGTGTTCATTTTTACATCCAAATTTGCACCTTAGGATTAGTCATTTGCACCTTTTAGGGACAGGCTTTCCGTTGAAGCGTTCACAGGCTCGCTCTTGCTCATTTGCCGATGCTTCCAATTAGTGCATTTCCTGTGAGAATTGTCCCTGCCCCGTCCCACATGTCGTCATTTGTACAACACAACTCAATGGAAATGATGTGAAGAAACGAGTGTTGTGTGTGAATATCTCCCATGAAAACTCGGGGTTGTTAAAATTCTTCCCGCTCCCCTCGCAAAGTCAACGAATTGTCATGATTCAGATTGCCAGTGTGATTCCAAATGTTTTTTTTTCTTTTTAACATTCTGGCAATGTGTAGTGACCATTATGGTAATGTAGTGATCTCTAGTACCTGGACAGGTTATACTGTGCGTGTATGTTTGGATAATGATACATTGATTCTCACAAATGCAATTTCAGGCATCGTGAGCGTAATAATCGATCTTAATCGAAGCATCGTGTCACCCCCTAATTAAAACATATGAACAGGCTTTGGTTTCATTTGTATTGGAAAAGAAAACGTTATGGGGGGGGGAATTTTGTTTCCTAGACTTTTCTCTATCAGCAGCTCTCCCGCTATATTTTTCACCTGATGACGATTGCTTGTGTTGCGATCGAAACGTCGTGATATTGTTATAACTTTTATTATTTTATTATTTGTTCTATCTACGTGGCTTTACCGAAAGACCCAAAGAATACGAATATTTTCTCTATCCGTTACTATGTTTTTCTTCCATAAACCTGTCTTAATGTGTGCATTTTGTATGCGTGTTAAAGCAAGTGCACCTGGCCTGGCACAGGCATCATGGTGACGTAACCATCACTTAGTGGTGAATGGCGGGTATTGGTTAAAAGTAACGCACAGTGCTTTTCTGATGAATACATGTTGACTGCCTGACCACACGTATTAGCAGTGTAAAATGGTGCAGAAATTTAGCTCGTCCTTCTCCTAAGTTGGCTGGGCCAGAAATAAATATCCCGTCTGTCTTCTTGTCCTCTCTTATCAACATTGGAAAAACAAAGTTGGCTGGGCATGCGGATAGGGCTGGTCATGTAACACCCACCATATATTATACCTTTCTGGCTTTAATAGGTGCTCACTGACATGCATTAACCCCAACTTTTTACGCAACAAAGTGGTCACCGTTGCTTAAAATGCTTGTGTGTCTAATCGTGCGTGCCTGTGCGTGCTTCCCGTACCCCCGTGCTCGTCCTTTCCCAGCCCGACCTTGCAGTCCAAGCCCGTGCCGCCGTACCACGTGAACGCCGGCCACACCTGCGCGCCGGCCACGAGCGCCAACGACAGCGAGCAGAGCATATCGAGCGACGCCATGACGGACGACAGCATGTCCATGACCGACAGCAGCGTGTAAGTGAACCCACGGGACACCTGTCGCGCGTCCGCGCCGCTAGCATCGCCGAGCGCACCAACGAGGGGAGAGACCCCTGACGTGGTAAATGTGTAGCTTTTGTGTCCAGCTTGGGGTGGTGACCTGGCCCGAGTGGTGGCGCGTTGGCCACACGTTGCAGAGGTTCACGGTTCGAACCCACTAGCGGCCGCCCGGGTTGACGCAGCGGTTGTGTCGACCGTAAATGCCACGCAGCCGTCTGCATTACACGGTGGAAATGTCTCGCCTTAGTTTCTTAACGGTAAAGTTTCCTCGAGTCAAACTTGTGGGGTCTAAAGTTGAAACCTTTGATATGGCAACCCTGTTGCGTGTGCGTGTACATTGCACGCACGCTCATTGCCACTTGGGTCCCGCCTCCCTCAGTGCGTGAGTTATGTCCTTTTGAAGATTATATATTGAATGCTTTGCCAACATATTTGAACCCACTCTCTAATTAGCTTCAACTTATTTAATCATGGATGATACATGTGCAGACGGCCTGTGTTTCCGGCACTCGCTTTGCCGGGTCGTTTTGAGCGCCGCAGTTTTGACCGTGGTGCCACGGCGGATATTGCCGTTGCCCTTGTCAGCAATGTCGCGCGTTCTTCAAAATAAATGAATATATAGACCACGGCAGGCAACAAGCACTTTGTCGATTCACTAAGTAAAATTTTGCCAGACGCGCGCAGGTATCAAATCTTTGACTGCGAAGGAAACTGTCCTTGGGGCCAGCGACGCTAACCTCTTGGCTTCCCGAAGCCACCCATCCAGACGCCACTTTAACATCTCATCTGAAAGACATCGCCCCTTGTGGATATCTGATGTTAGCCTAGCTGTGGTGTTGAGGGAGAAGTGGTTCTCGGGGGGGGGGGGGGGGTGGGGGGGGTGCAAACATCGCACTTTTATATTTACCGCCCCCCCCCCGGTTCAGTGGTCACACGCAAAGGTGGGAAACAGACTGTGCCCAATTTGGCTTTCGAAATAAGGCGACGAGTCTTTTTTTTTTTGATCCCGGCATTTTGCGATGCGTGTGTGCCCCGTGCCTTCAGAGTGTTTTGTGCAGTCTCGTCTTCTGTTTTCTGCGATCCAGCCGGCTGTTGGACGCTCTTACCGGAGCCGTAAGCACGTGCGATTCGGATGAGAGTGCGTGCGATGCATGGGCGGCGTTAGGTGGCACAATGATCCGTAAAACCCGGGGGCCCGCTGTCTTCAAACCGGTCCGCTTTCACTCGCCGCTCAGAAGGGGCGCCGCGGCTCTTCCGCCGCCCTCAGATTTCCCGCAGATCCCTGACTTTTTTTGCGGCCCGAAAAGGAAAGAAAACACTTAGCAAATCGACTCGCTTTTGAGGTTTCGGAGGCTGCCGTCGGGGCCCATTTGATCTCGGGCAGACGTTGCGCTGGTAACTGTGACGGAGCTGGGGGTAGAAAACAAGTCGAATGCTGCCAGGTTCTCTTACTTAAAACGCGAAAGAAATAATAAGTGCTCGGCGCAGAGCCTTTTTTATTTTCTTTGACTCTAAGGGCACGGTCTAATGTTAAGCTGTGCCGGTGCAGAGCATTGGAGGCCATTGCCCAGTTAAAATATGAACTGTTTATTTTGACCCCCCCCACTCCCTCCCACTGTCTTAGCACATGTTTGTTTATTTGTTTTAGTTGGCCCAAGTTGATGAGAATTCACATGGTGTTGAGGGAAAAAAATAAACTTTTGCTTGCGTTCAAAAAAGAAAATTTGAAGTTGTGGCCAATACTTTGATGTAAAGCCAGTTATATTCTTGGTTCTTTTGGTAAAGTCACGTAGAAGGTAAACAATAAAATAATAAAAATATAAAACAATAAAATTCTCACGACGTTTCGACTGCAACACAAGCAATCATCATCAGGTGTGAAAACCACAGCAAGAAAATTTGAAAAAGTGGCGTTTTTTTGTTGTTCAAATTTTCTTGCTGTGGTTTTCACACCTGATGATGATTGCTTGTGTTGCAGTCGAAACGTCGTGAGAATTTGATTGTTTTATATTTTTATTATTTTATTGTTTCCCTTCTACGTGACTTTACCGAAAGAACCAAGAATAATGAATCCCTGCAGTCACGAAAGCTTTAAATCAAAATGTAAAGCCAGTTGTTTTGGCCTGAGGATCTATACAAACTTTTAAACTTGGCTGATTTTGTAGTGAGAGCTACGTTGTAAATTTGCCTTTTTTCTCTCTCCTTAAAGCATTTTAGTCGAGGTTTCATCCAAAACTAGAAGCTCACCAAGCCATGTAACATACAAAATAGCTGGTAAAGTCGTCATACTTTTGACTCCCCATTTGTTTAGTTTTCCTGCTGCTGTGGCCCCATTGCGCTGTCACCAGTAAAAAAAAAAACACGAGGGATGAGAGACCCGCAGAGCAACCGGCAAAAAGATCCAGAAACCGACGGGAGATGAGACACGCGGAATAAACGCCCTTGGCGAAGGAGAGAATGAGATATACGTCACATATGGGGCTCCTTAATAACGAAAAATAAAGCAAACTCCGAAGTGGCGCAAGCGAGTCGGTGAGCACAACTATTAAGGTGGTAAAAGTTGGGACGCAGCGGGCTTTGTTGTGAAGGGTTGCGGGCGGGGAGGACGACAGCCAGAGGTCACAGGCAGCTGGGTGAAGGGCCGCTATACACAGAGGGCCTCTCCTCGCCGAGGGAAGAATGTAAACAGCGGCAGCAGCAGCAGCAGCAGCAGCCTCGTAGCGCCAACCATTGTGGCCAACGGGGGCCCCCGTGCTCGTGTACGCATGATGCCACGATGGAAGGTCGCACGCAGCAGCGGCTCAAAGCAATGTGGTGCTTTGGGCGGCGGCGATATGTTTAAGTGGTAAAATGTGCATGAAAAGTGTAGAATCGGCCAGAGTTGCGGCTCGCGTTGTTTTCGCCAGGGGGTTCGCGTTTTAGTCGCGAGCCTCGGTTTGCTTTGTTGGAAAGATTTGTTGTGCGGCGCTAGAGCGTCCATTTTGCCTTTTGCTTTCGTAACGTTCGGTGCTCTCGGGACGCTTAACTCTAGTGCAACTTTTTCAAAGCTGAAAGTTGACCTATTGTGAACTCGGCCATCGTCGGAAGCGCAGATCCACAGATGGTTAAGTATGATTTGGTTGTTGGGAGGGTTGAAAAAGACTGCAAGTTGCGAACAGGTGAAAAGACAGGATGGGGGGCGGGGGGGGTGATGAGTTCCAGAGTTCAGCAGCTCGTTCATTGAAGGATGAGGCTTAGTTTTTTTGTGCAGTGAGGTTGACAAGGAAACAATTCGCAGTGCGATATGGAGAGGGGTAGGTAGGTCAACAGATGGCAGGAATGATAGTCTACACAAGTGCACTGACCATAGACCTATCAGGAAACAGCGATGGTGAGATAGAGCGACAGCAGAGGCGGCGGATGAAGAAAGCACATTTGTATTGCAAGTTGGACTGGAGCATCAATTCGCTTCTTATTGCATTGTATCAAGACATGTTAGTGTTGGCTTGGATACATAATTCTGGAGGTGTACGTCTGTATTATGGTGAACTTCTCTCGCGCCATACGTAGCCAACCGTGCTGATCGGAGGTGCGAGGAATTCCCAGTGGGTTGCGGTGTTGGAATTTGCTACCGCTAAACAGATTTCTTATGAAAAAAGAAACCCAGATTTCTTCGCGGTGTTCTTGGCAAAAACAGACACTGCATATGTTTAGAAGGTGGCTTGCGAGAGGAGGTGACACCGATTTAACGAAGTTGAACAGCTGTGGATGATGTCCAGTCACGTAAATGTGGTCACGGCCGTGTACGTGCTTTGCGTGTCGTCAGAAGTGAACGCCACTTCTCGATTGTAGTTCCCGAAGGAGGCGGAGAGAAGGTTTCCTTATCAGGCACCACGAGACCACCCAGTCGCTTTGGTTTTTTTTTTCTTCATGAAATGTTTGTCAGATTTTTATCTTGTCCCCTCGCAATTGGCAAAATCGTGATTTTTGCGTGCACCGCCGCGGCTGCAAAAAACAAAAGAGAGGGGAGCCACTTGTTGCACACGTTGAATAATTTGTACCATTTATCGTGTTCTCTTTGTTTTAGTGCTGGTTTATATTTGATTTCATTTGGTTGTGTAATGCTTGTCGGAAAAGAGAGCCTTTGATGTTGTTACATACTTGAAATTAGTTTCGGCAGCGAATAGCATCTGTTGGTATTTTTTGCTTTTACGCAACCGGGCCCTTTCTGTTGATTGAAGAAGATATTGTTTTTAACGCGTAGGGAGAGGGTGGATCAGCGCGATTTTTACAGCCGCGGTGAATTGGATTTGCGCTGGTGTGTAATGCAAAAGGCAGGGAAAGGGCACGGTAGCGAGCCCAAACTTGCCGATTGTTTTTTAAAAGGACACGGAGTTCAAATTCCAACGCAGTGCCGGTACGTTACCGCATTATGCCCAGCGCGCGGTAATTGCCGCAATAGCGGTGCATTGTGGCAGATTGCCATCGCTCTTGACTTTTTTCTTTCTTTCCAGAGTGTAGCGAAAGTAGCATCTTTGTTATTAGGGGCCAGTCAGAAGCTGTTTTCAGACTGGGAGACACTGTTGAAAAATTGTCAAGAGTCGTGCATTGTTTACTTTTGAGTTTCTTGCCTTTTTAGTGTTAGAATAATAACAATTAATGAACGTGCATCTGTACTTTGCATCTCGGAGATGAATTTCATTCATGTTCGTGCATGGATGTAGATCCTCACCCAGTGGGTTCACGATACAATGTGTACCACTGGGTGAGCCTGCACTGCTATATGTGATGACGCCAGTCATTGCCCACTGGGGAGACTTGGATCCTGCCATATGAATGTGGAATTTCCTTCCCACTGATTTATCCCCCTGAAATGCGTACACCTTGGTGCGTCTATGGACAGACACGTGCGTGTGCATCTCGCGAACAACTCGTCTGCCATTGGAGCGTGTGTGCTAGTTGAACTTCTTTCGCACCGTACGTAGCCAGCCGTGCTC